AGCTGATGTAGAAGGGTGGAGGAAAAGATGGAAAAGTCAAAGGGAGGAAAAGATGTGAGTGTGAGAAGGGGTTGCATTGAAAAGTGGTGTTTAATTGAAATGAATAATAGGAGAAATGTGAGAAATGTTCATAGTTTAAGGAGGATAATTTGTGTCTGAAACAAAGAGTAGCACAATTTATTATACAATTATTATATATAAATATYGTGCTAACAGCTAAATTTTCATATACTGCATACTCGCCTTTATTTTCTCTGCAGAGTGAAAATCTTTATACACAAGATGCTAACAGACAGTGTTATCAATAATAATGATTATTAAAAAATGTTTGGCCACACCAGTTCAACTCCAACAAAAACATTCTTGCTCATAAAAAACCTGAAAGCTCCATTACTAGACAGCCTAAACATAAAACTTCTTCTGACCAAAGCTTTCACTGGTTTCTGCAGGGTTCAGGTGCAGCAGAGGAGGGGTGCGCCTCTCTAAGCTCATCATCTGTGACAGCCGGCAGTCTCCCTGCTTGTTATGAATTCATGTCCTCCCCGGCGGTGAAGCCGAGTGCAGGGGCTCTCAACACCTCATGCAGATTAAATTAGGCTGAGCCGACCCATGTAATGCAGACGAACTCAGAGAGGCTCAATATAAACAGATCAGAAAGTCTTGCAGGGAGCTCAGATGATTCGTCTGACCTGCTAAGAACCCTGAAAATAAAAAGTCTCTCCACAGTAAGCGAAGAGAACTCKGTGTAAATTATTCATTATGTTTCTGCCAGGGTTCATCTGTTATTCTGTTCTCTACAAACTTTTCTCTCCACTGGACGAGCCCGAGAGGGCRTTTTTCACAGCTGGGTGGGGCTGTCAGTCCTGACGGGACCTGATCCAGACGTTTCCTTGTGACACCGGATGACCGCAGAGTTCTTAAGGCTGAGCTGAGTCACATTTAGCCTGGGTGTGTTAACAAACGGCTGCTCGCACTTCAACTAATTACTTTCCAAGCTTACCTGTGCTCCCAAGAGTTCTGGTGGCTTTCCTCCATGTTTCCCTCGTGGTGTCCTCCATAGTTTCYCCGATGAACCAGCTTCTAAGTCAGATCTCATGGTGATCTCCGTCTTCATCCCTCTGCAAACATAAGTCAGAGAAGTCAGCTCAGCCTACAATACCTGCCAGCTCCCTCAGCTCATCCTGTGATTTAGACCAGCCCTACTGGCCTCCTCAAACCCCCATGCTTTCCCCCAAGTAACCAGCAAACATGAACAAATTACAAATACTGCATTTTCACACAAATCTCTTGCTGAACTATCCACCACACACGTGGGCCCACTAACAACTTTTCTGCAGGTGCAAAGTCTTAATTACCCTCCCTTTCAAAATAAAACTATTTCCCTTTTACTTGTTTCTTGTTGGGTTTAATTTTTTTTTTAAAGAAGCCAGAATTCTACACAAAAGCAATGGCACTGCTGCTCTGAAGGACTCGATCTCATGCAGTATCAACATTTCATACAGGTCAGCCAGGTTTTCAAAACAGGACCTACAACATCTATTTTCTTTGCCTGTTTTTCTTTTTGAGGTTGCAGGTAAGATGAAGCTTGTTTTAAGCAGTCCCTTTACGAGAGGCCGGGCAGACCCCGGACAGGTCTCCAGTCCATCATTCCCACGCTCTCACACCTAGGGAAAATATAGAACTGACAATCAAACTTGCACTTTTTTGGTTTGTGGAAAGAAACTGGCTGGAGTACCTGGGGAAGAATATTTAGGGAAGCATTTTCAAACCAAACATACTCACAAATCATACATGCAACAACTAATCACTCATACCCGTCACAGTGCAGACAAAAAAAAGGGGAACTGCAGGTCAAATCTCTCACTTTACTCTGAATGTAGTGATAAAGGTTTCAGAGGGAAGTGTACAAAAGAAACACTTTGAAAAAAAAAAGAAGAGAAGTGCCTTTGTAGCACGCATCAAAGCAGGCAGCAGCCGTATTGCATTTCACACTGTGAATAATTGAAGAGCACTTCTTCATTTATATAATGAAATGGTACACTGTACCAATGGCGAAGAACTGAGAACTTCCTGAAACTTGTGAAATCATCTGCTACAAGAAATGTCACGGTACTAACAAAACAAAAGGCACAAATAAATTTAAAAAATATGCAAACTGTTGCAGAAAACATGCCACACATTTACGTTAAACACACAAAGCAGCAACATTTCCATAAATGCACCTTTATTTCCCTGCAAAGTACCTGTGTTGAGAATGTTAAATCATCAGTTTTCAGTGGGGCTGCATTATATATCACAAATTTATTGTTATTACGACGTGCAATAGGCATATCACAAAAAAACTGGTACACTGAATAGTTGGCTCAAATATTTTCATATGCTTTTTGTCTCTTATACTTTTCCTAATTTCTTTTCAGTCTGTCAGCTATTTATCTGCATATATCTAGACTTAAACTGATACTTGGTCCAACAAAAGGAGTTTAACTACTGAGAGTAAATAAATAAATAATATAAAACATTTAAAATCAAATATAGAAAGTTTCATTATTTCATCTAGCAATTCATGAGCTATTGTAGTAACAGACACATAGGCAAAAACATTATTGCCCTTTAGCTTCAGAGGTGGAAGATAATATAAAATAACAGAAGCACAAATATGCATTAAAAGATGCTGAAATCCAGCACGTYTTTGAGTTTCAGTTCTTCAGTTATTTGAGAAGCTGACTCTGTGCAGCTGAATACTACCACCAAGTGGAAACAACAGAGCAGCGAAACCAAAAGGAGTTACAAATATCATCAACAAACTTTAAAAGAAGAAAAAGCTCAACTTATTAATACAATCAGATAATAAGTATTTTATGAGAGTGAATCATTTTTGATAATTGCTTTTGAATTAAACAAAAATTGAGGCAAAAATTTTCATTTTAGATAACTTTGAGTATGTCACACAACTAAAACAACAAAATGAGGCTGAAATGAAGCTCTGCAAAATCAAAGGCGTCTAATTTTTTTAGCATTGTCGTTCACATTATAAATTAAATACAACCTCCATCAGCCTCCAGCATGAACAGCTCATGACCCACAGAAGATGTGTCGTCACACAAAACGCTGTGATTACAGAAAAAAAAATCATTTCTGAGCCAACAAATTATTATCTAATATTTGCATTTTGATCTCCTGCCTACTAGGGTTGGGCAATATTGGCAAAAAAAAAAAAAACATTAATCACGATCGTGGTATGTAGCCAATAACATTTAAATTGATGATTAATCCCCTGGAGTCCTTGGACACCCTCATGTCCTAGTCACATGACCAATTTAATGGGAACGATTTGCTCTTCGTAAAAATCTGTTCCAAACTGTATCAAAATTACAGACTTCATGCTATACATCAAATTTTAAATTGTGTTCATAGATAAATTAATTACAGGACTTTTTTAAATGTTCGTCATATTTGAAGCGGAGAGGAGCACCAGGCAGACTGACCGGGGAAATCTCCAGTCTGCCTGGTGCCATTAATCTTATTAATCGTCAAATGCCAAAAAATAATCCATTAAAGTTTTTTTCTGATGATTAATTGCACAAAATATGATTATGCCCAACCCTACTGCCTACTCAGGTGTGGAGAAAAAGAGGTTAATAGGCAAATGTTTTACATTTGTCACAAAGTGACACAAGGTGTACAGCAGTAGGTCACAGTCTCCCAAGCAGCCTATGGGATTTGGTTATATAGGACAATGTCATGAAATAGAAGCACATAAAAATTCAGTAAAAATAAACTGCACTGATCAACGCACTCTCAAATGTAAAGTTTTGGGTTAAAATTTACTAACACTGTTGGCCCTTGAGTTAAAAAAAAAAACTGTTCACTTCATTTCCCAGGTCAGTGAACTGCTTCCCCCAGGAGCTAATCAGAGCTGCAGCAATGTTCCTGCTGATGAGCAACACACCACTGGGGAGCCAATCAGGGTCTCTGTTCAATTATTCTGAGATGCAGTGAGACACCACAAGGATGTCCATACGCACCGAGAAAACCCCTCTGAATCGCTCTGATGTCAAAACCATCCTGAAGGGACCATATTTTTTATTTAACTTCACTCTGAATTCTGGCACTTTAACTCTTCAAGCTTTTCAAATCTGAAAGCACTTTCAAATTGTTTTTCCTTTTTATTCCTTACTTGTAAGAAAAAAAGCATTGTGGGGTTGATTTAAAAAAATAACTGTACAGATCATTATCATTCTGAGCTACTGATCTTTTAGGGCAAGAAGAAATGGTTTCATCATATGTGTGACATTTAACCAGCTGAATGTTCCCACAAATTACAATTATTTTATCTTTCCAGCTTCACCTGCAGCACCAAACATATGCTGATTTACTGTGACATCCATCCATAGGCTATAGGCTGTAAATTAAAGCTTTAGACTTCAACTCACAGTGAGAGGAGATAATTTAAGATATTTCTAAAGTTCCAGAGAGTTCTTCTCTTGGTTGACACCAAATTTTCAGGTTAGAGTGGTAAATGTGTGTCCTCTGTGGGCAGACTTTGTTTTTTCTTGTTGCTAAAGGAACAAAAACTTCATTCATGCAGTTTATTTTAGAMAACACCCGGGGCTGCTTTCATTAGCGTAAAAAGGCCAAAAGCCTGGAATAGCACACGCAAAACCCAATTATACAATAGTAAAAATAGCTACTAATTGCATAAATAAACAGTTTACCTCTTTTCTCTTAGATGTTCCTCCTGAATGAGCTGAGCGACGCTCTCGTGTCGTCCGAAACACTGAGTTTTACTCACTTAAATCAGAAAACGCTTAAATTTCAATTTAAAACTCTTGTTTCAAGTCGTCTGTCTATTTTGACTAACAGCAGCTACCTTGGTCAGTCCTGCGGTGGAGCTCGTGCTCGCTCCTGCGCGCGACCAGCAATAATTAGGGAACCTGAGAGAGAAAAAAAATCACAGGTGATTTGAGCGGTACTGCGCATGCGCGTCAGGTTTCTCTTGAACCACTGGATGGATTGTTTGGAAACTCTCGGAAAGTAAGCATTACATGAACATCTATCTACAACTGATAAACTTTTGGAGTCAGCCTAATTCGAGATGGCCGCCACAGCCAAGCACATATATAGGTATATGCAGTCAGTTTTGCAGATAATGAGCTAAAATTAGGTGTGGTAGTATCTTTGAGTCATCCTCAACACACGCAATGAGCAAGCTGTCACATGAGAATGTGTGCAAAATAATTCCCAGAGTTTGAGCAAAAAGGCTACAACCTGCCTTCTCAGCACAAGATAATTTTAGATTGAAACTACTGAATAAAATGTATGATGACAGGCAGTCCTTCAAGAAAGAAAGACCTCTAATTAAAAAAAAGTGTTTTTCAAGAAATAAAAACTTTTTTTCCCTCAATAAAGCAGGAGATCAACATCTTCATTTGGATACTAATGTCTGACCATTTGTGTACATTGTTAGACTAATTCNCACACACACACACACAAACACACACACACACACACACACAATCTTCCTGTGGGTTGTTTGGCTCATTGTCACCTTTTGTTTTCCCTGCCACACATGGGATGATGTCATGGTTTTACTGAATTAGATGTCTGAATCAGATAATAAAAGTACACACAGATATAAATTAATCAGATCTGATATGGATTTAATGTTTTTAATTTCTCTTTTCTTTAACAAACATCTAGCCTGGCCCTTGCCTTCCTGCGCAGTCCTCGTCGATGTCCTTTTTCAGACTGAAAACTCCTTTAAGTAAATTAACGAGTGTAAAGGCTCAGATGCTTTTTAGATTATTTTGTGAACATCTTGTTTAATCAAATTCATTGTCTGTTCTCTCCTCCTGTCCTCACAAGGTAAAACATTTTCCACATTATTCAAGCAGCTTCTGTCTGATCAGGACTCTGAGTCGACAGGTGAGCTTTAAGAAAGAAACCACTGAAGTGATATTTATTTATTTATTTACAGGTCCCCATTAGTCTCTGACTACTCTTACTGGGGCCAAACATACAAAAACGAAACACATCAATACAATCAACAAAAAAACATATCAAAACTAAAACGTAATTAAATAAAATTAAAATTAAATAAATGTTCATGTGTTTATTTGAAATGGAAGATGTAGATGATGTACAGATATTATAAGAGGTTCTCAGACACAAAGGAATAACACATCTGAGATAAATATAAGTTAGCAAAATAAGGAAACTGGAAATTTTGTTACTTTACAGGCCAAAAAGAGTCATGTGACCAAAGTGTGAGACAAGTCAGGGATCTGGTGTGGACTGATGGGTGGTGACTTCACAATTCACACGACTTTAGCAGCAACTGTTTCAGTAGCTCAATGCACAATAACTGAAAAACAAGAAAAAATCTGCATCACTTGTTTTTTTTTATTCTAGAGAAATGGATGAGCACACTTCTATCATCATGTCAAAYAAAACCTTTGTGGTAAACATTGTTGACTGCTTTTTAAATTTTTATTTTTAAGTTCAGCACACCACACATCTGACCAATGATGTCCTAAAAAGGAAGTGAGCTTACAGGTTTGACTTCCCCCTCAGCTCTGCCTTCAAGAGGATGTCAGCAGCATTAAGAAAACACGGAGAGAGGAAGACAGAGGACAGACGTGTGTTTGGAGCTTTAATTACGCTTCTGTTCGTGTCCAGGATGCAGGTTGTTTGTGTCGGATCACTCTGGTTTTATGCCTTTATTCTCACTTCTTCACATTTGGGTAAGCATTTTATGAAAGATTATCAGACAATCTTAATTAAAAATAGAAGTTTTGTCCTGATTTTTGTTCACAACATTATTTCTTTGGTTTTGATTGTTAGATAAAATAGCATAATATATCTACTGTTTAATATCAAAAAAGCATGTGAATGATTTAAAAAATAAAACTGCATTCTTTCAGGGCTGAGTTTTTTAGTTTTTAGTTAGCCGACATCATTTTATTTATTACAAAACAAAATAAGCTGAGGGTTTTTTGCTGCAGCTGGCTTAAAATACATTTTTGCCTTTTTTAATTTTATAGATAGACTTTCAGCCTCGACCCCCTCTCCCTCCCTTCCAACACCCACCCTGTTTATCTCTTCCACCTCAAGAGACACAGTGGTCCTGGTCTGCCGAGCCCCCGGGGGTCGTGGGGTTGAGTTCATGTTGTATCGCAACAAAGAGAAAGTAAGTAAAGTTTTTTTTATTGATTCAACAGGAAAAGATTACTAAAAATCAAGCCTGACTCAGCATAATTGCTGTTTTACAGCAGGTTCCTGTTCTGCAGCACATAAAACACTCAGAATTACAGCATCACAATCACATCATTATACACCAGACACAAAGACAAACAAGCATACCAAATTTCAGGAAGGCAGCATTTGCAAAATAGGACGTCTAAATATGAGCGCAACAAAAAGTGTCCAGCAGATGGCAGAAAAGATTCTTCTTAAAGGGCTGTAGTTTTGAAATGGACTTTATGTTTTGAGGAATGTCATTCCATGCTTTAGTATAAACATAGAAGAAAGACSTCTGGCCGTAACAGTTTTTAAAAGTTGGTAATATCAGTTGTCCTTTTGTAACAGATCTGGTTATATGTATGATTGTATGTTTTGTTTYGCCTTCATCTGCCAGGTTTTATTTGCTCTTTTTCTTCTCATTTCATTGAGGTGAACTCCCAGGTGCCACAGTCTGCTGCTGAGGAGGTTCAGTTCACTGTCAGGGTGGAGCACGGAGGTTCAGACCAGCCTAAACTTTTCTGCTGTTTGTACAAGAACCAGGGAGGACATTACAGCGCGTTCAGTCCTTATTTACAACTGGAGCTTCAAGGAGGTGAGCTGCACTAAAAACAGTGAAAAACTCCCATTTTGTCTTTTTGTGTGCRAAAAATAAATCTCTGCTCCTGCAAAACAAATGTGTTCCTTATTCTGCACAAAATTACTGTTGACCCAGTTTAGATTCCACATAATGGTGAAAAAGGGTTTAAAGCTGCTGATTTATATTTTCTAAATTAAGTGAACAAAAGCGTTCAGACGGTTGATTTAAATCTGCAGCAAGTAGTGATTCTACATGTGGTGAGAAATAATAAACACTCCCATCCGCTCCACTCTAACCTCCAACTAACTTCTGAGTGCAGGTGCTCTCTGTGGTCTCTTGTTGTCCTCCGCTCTGTGGGTGTGTGGCAGTAGTGACATCCTGAACTTCATCTAGAAACCACACACACCCACTGACGCACACACACACACACACACACACACACACACACACACACACACACACACACACACNGCAGAGGCCTGTGCCCACAGTTATTTTTGTATGATAAACATTTGCATCAGGTCAACAAAACATGGGCATAGTAACAATATTTTTATACCACATTTATCCATTTTAAATATACTAACCTCACTCCTTTGTAACAACTAAGGCAAAAATGTGGTCAGAAAATCTTTTCAGGAYCCCACCTTGATGTTTCGGGACCCCACTTTGGGTCCCGACCCCAACTTTAGAAAACACTGATCTATATGACTGCAAATGTTGATGCTTTTTTGCCTTTATCTCCCCCTAACAGTCGTCCCTGAAATTCCTTAAAAACCTTTTGGCATTTTTTATTTTCTGTAAGGGTGACAAGCTGAAAGCAAGAACTGTATGAAATCGTCTCCTGGTTTTCAAAAAGAAAAAAGCCCCCAGTATATGTCTGGGAACGTTTAATGGCAGAAACTGCACCATTTTTGCCCACTGGTAGAACAGGCCTAAGCCAAATATGAACCTTCTCATATTCATAGTTTAAATGGGGGCTTCCTGATGGTGAAAATCTAAAGTTAGAATCTGCAAACACAGATTTAAAGGAGCATTTCTGTGTCCCGGAAAAGAAGAACTTTTTCAACTCTGTTTGGTTCGGCAGGAATTTCTGGTATTTTGAGGCCTCTATGTTTCTTCTGTTGATTCACTTTTACAAACAACAGTAAACGTCCTTGAGCTCTCTGCTGTAAACATGCACAGACACACACATGCACACACACACACACACACACACACGCCTGCGTTTCACTGCGAATCAACAGCTCCACCCCTCTGAGAACTTCAGATCGACCCGTACCCACACACTGTTTTTTTCATTAGTGCTGCTGCGTGGTGTCGGAGCGTGTCTCTTATTAGAAGTAAATACTTTCATTAATTAGCTTGATGAAAGGYTCTCAGCAGGCTTTTTACTCTCACCCACACTGTGCACTGCTTCTGAGCAGCCATTACTAACACACACACACACACGCACACACACACACACACACACACACAACCACCAAAACCCACATGATCTTACGTCCGCTGCTGGAAGAGGAAGTTTGGTTATAAACTTGGAAAATGATGTTTGACAGCATTATTTTTGATTGAACTTAATTATGTGTAAGTAGGTTCAAAAAATGAAACAAGTAAAAGGAATTTACTAGGGGTGCAACAATACATGTATCTGTATCGAACCGTATCGAACAGTGCTTTAGGTTCAATACACACTTGTATCGAACAATACAGATTTTTAAAATTTACTTCATCAACTTGTCTTCTAAAGATGCTCTGTGTTGAAGGATCAGTGGATCTGTGTTCGACTACTCCACCTAGGCTGCATTTTTGAGTGCCAATCCACTGAGAAACTTGCTGTTTCAGCAACATTTAATTTAAAAACAATACTCTTGAGGTTAAACAAATGTTCATACTTAATTTAAACACACTACAAGTTAAAAGGGGCATGGAAATTTCGCATCGAAAAAATATCGAAACGTAAGACTAAAGTATCGAATCGAAACGAATCGTGAATTTTCTGTATCGTTGCACCCCTAGAATTTACGTTTGAGCGCAGAATGCTGCTGCTGAAATTTGTTCAAGTATCTAAAACTGAATTGTGAAAATTAAAACAAGCAGAACAAACATTCAAACAAGCAAAATACTTGAAAAAAGCTAAAGATTTGAAAATTTGTGGCTAAAAGGTAAAAAAGAGGGGGAAAATCCCAGAAAGCTAAAATAACTCATTTGTAGGTGAAAGGTAAAATTAGCAAGCTAGAATTAGCACAACTTTAACCAAGAGCTAAAATTCCCAAAGGAGCTAAAAAGATCAAAAACGCAACTAAAAGCTCAATTTGTCACTTTGTAAGTAAAAGCTGAAATTGGCAAAATCATATATGTACAATTTGCAAAAGTTAGAAGTTAAAATGCTCAAAAGTTGAAATTAGCAAAACTAGATCAGTCCCACCAAATTATGCAATCATGTAGACAAAACACTAAAACTAAAAAATATGTCAATAAAAGCTAAAATTAGCCAAAAACGTAACTAAAAGCAAAAATTTGCTGAAACATCATATTGATACAAAAAAGAAAAAGTGGTGAAAAGAAGACAAAACTGTTAGACTGTTTAAAATAAATCTTGCTTATTGCTTAAAAAAAACTCCAAACAAACATTTAAAAATAAAGGTAAAAACCAACAGCTGAATTGTCCTGAATGATACTTATTGTTTAAAAAGAGGAAACAGTGTGAATTCTCACAAAACACATTCTGTTCTCCACCTTTTTGTAGCTGAAGGCACGACCCCCAGCCTCCCCCTGTTGCCCCCTCCTAACTTGTCGGTGGAGCCGTCCTCTGGTATAAAACGKGGGGACATGATCCGCTTCCACTGCACCGTCCCAGACCCTCTGTCCCAGTCCAGCAGCCCACCCACCTTCCTTCTGCGGAGGACCTTTGGCCAGACGAGCTCTATGATCTCTCAGCTTCAGGCAGGTCAGGCGTCAAACTCTGAACCGCAGCCGGGGTTCTTCACCGTGGGGCCTGTTGGTCAACGAGAGGAGGGGGAGTACTCCTGCATCTATCAGATCAACAAAAGGACAAAACTGGTCAATTCATCTGACAGCAATGTGGTTAAAATTACTGTTACAAGTAAGAATGCTCATAAGTTTTTAGATTTTATTCACTTTTATCAACAAAGGTGGAACATATAGAACGTAAATTTAAAAAAGCAATAATTAAACCCTTTAAAACCAATTTTTATTAACAATGCAACCTGATAAACATCAAATGTTTGACCCATTTTTATGAAAATAAAAGATAATTTGGAATTTTATGACTGTTTTTTGATGTAGTGCTGAATGAGATCCTCGTCCTTTGAACTCAGATTTCTTCAGGCTCTTAAAATCTTTTGATATTTTACACTTTGATGGGATATTCAAAGTATTCTGTCCTTTCAGGTTAATCTGAAATACTTCCACTATTTTTAGACGGTTTTTCCAGAGTGGTGAACCTCTGCCCATCTTTACTTATGAGAGAATCAAATGCTCTAAAATGCTCTTTTTGAACCACCCTCTTACTAACCTGTTGTGTTTGAGCCTAATTAGTGTCCAAATGCTCATCCAGCTGCAGCTTAGTGAGTAAATGCAGTTTATGTTTGTCTGCTCGTCCTCTCAGACGTGCTTCCGGTGCCCTCCCTTGTTCTCCAGCAGCAGACAGATGTGTGGAGTCTGCTCTGCACCGGCTCTCCTGCCTACCCCGGCGCGACGTTCTCGCTCTACCTGGAGAATTATGAACTTCCTGTCGAGTCCCGCCGGGTCAGAAACATCCAGCATCAAGCCACATTCCCTGTGCCAGTCCAGGACTCTCCGGTGGCCTTGTACCAGTGTCAGTACACAGTCCAGCTGGGGATGTTGTGGAGGACGTCTGAGCGAAGCGTCCCTCTGGCTGTAACCAGAGGTAAAAAAAACTCAGAATGCTGAAGTGTTGCTGATGTTGCCTGAGTTTGTGTTTGTAACTGGTTCTTTGTTGCATCTTGCAGGAACCTCTACTCCTGCATCACAAGGTAGGCCTGCAGTGCGCCGTTATTGTTGTGCATCTAAAGGCATTTTTGTTTGTTTATCCGTGTGTTAGCAGATGATCTCAGGAGATGAATTTGAATGTATTGATATGAAATTCTTAGCAAATAATCTTTGAATGTGATTTACATTAGGTTTGAATGTATTCTTTGCATCTTTCAGTTATTTTTGTGTCTGATAATGTGTGTATGTCAGGTGTAGACTGGCCTCTTTTACTTGGCTCAATCTCTGCTGCACTTTTGTTCCTCTTCTCACTGGTTTTGGTGGTTGTAGTGGCAAAAAGGAAAGGTATATTCACTCTTAATTCCTTATGGTTTCTCAAACACTATACTTCTTTTCATGAAACTGATTATTGCTTCTCCATTTTTTTACTTCTTTAAAGTAAAAGCAGCAGCTGAAGAAAAGAAGAGAAGGTATTTTGTGTAATGCTACAGTGTCTTTAAACAGCACTAATAACTTGTAGAATGTTGTGAATATATTGTGCACCACTGTGTGGAATTAAAATACATAATTTAGTGTTGCAATAAATGTTGTTGTGTTCCAGGGAGGAAGCTCAGTTCTGGACTCAGCGTCACACTCAGGATCACGTTATTGGTGACTTCTTTTTTCACAATCTCATTTCCTCTTTTATATTTGTTGCTTGTTTTATTCTATAATCTTCAATCCTGATTTTTCTATAGGAACTAAAAAATCTATTTGATGTCACAGTAACAAGACTGTTTGGTTGTGTAGCTGATTTGTTGTGTGTTTTTATTTTGCAGACCTCACGCTCAGACCGATAAGCTTAACTCCCCAGGTAAATGTTCTCCAACACAGACATCTCCTGTTGAAGGACATAAAGACATAAACTTGAAAAACTGAACAACACAAAACTTAAAACATTATTGACAGTCGACAAGTCTTATTATAAAAGCTATAGATTTTTTAAAAAATCCTTTTTCCTCCTGTACTTTAGAGGTTTAGTTGTTGTGTGAAGCTGTGGCCAGCTCTTTAGTTTCACTTCATCACAAAGCTTGTCTTTTCCCAGTCTGACATTTTGCTTTTGAGGTTTTAGGATTCATGAAACGGAGGGTTGGTGGTTTGATTCCCAGCTTCATGGCAGATCACAGTGGAGTCACTGAAAACAAATACAACACAAAGCCAAGGGTTTAAATACCATCTATATCAGTTGTTCCCAAACTTTTTATCTTCTGACCCACAAAATATCCATGGCAAAACTTGTGACCCCAAATATTACTGGTCTGAGTACACAAACTTTGTTAAAATCTCTAAAAACACAGGCTTTTTGACAATCTAAACAGCTTGTACACAAAT